TACATTAAATGCTTAGCTATATTGAACTACAATACAAAGTTTTCATAAATTTGAGCATTTAACTTATTAGACTTTTACTAGGGGTCACCCTAACATTTAATTTTTATTTTGTAAAGTTTTTAATATAAAACAATAACTTGTTACATTAAATGAAGATATTTAAATTGCTGGACTATCCCATCTATCACATGCACGAAATGTACAGATACTCTGAATTTTCTAAATATCTCATTTGCAAAAGTTTTTTCCTTTCATGGAATCACTGACATTTTCAAAATTGATATATAAGAGATTTGTGGATAAACTCCTCTTTATACTCTGCTTTCCAGCTCTCTCCAGATTGAACAGCAATTGTTAAATTTGTAGATGATTATTCCTATCCTAGCTTCAGTCTTGTTCTTATAAAGGGTAGCGTTGCTTAGTTTGCTCTGGCAGGAAACCCTTTACTTCTTGCCTCACAAGAGGCCATATGCCCACAAAATAACCCCTAGTCTGGCCTTTTTCCAAGAGTGATGTATACTGAAAAACATGTTCAAATTTTGCCATTATAGAGGTTTGTAAGGGAAACATAAATTCTTTAGTGATTACATGATTTTCTTTCTTCTCTTTAGAGCTTTCTTTCTTTTTTGGCTAGAAAAATTTTCATAGTCTCCATTCCATGTGTTAAATGACCTTATTTAAGCACTGGATTCTAGCCTCCTCTTATTAGTCCTGTGATAAAATTTTCCAAGTCATGTTTTCTTACCCAACCCTCAAAACACACAGGTGTTTTTGAGCCATAAATGCTGAAGAGCTATGAGGTAGAACACAGAAGCCACTGGCCGTGTGCGGCTATTGAGCACATAAATTATGGCTAGTTTGAGTTGAGATGTGTTATAAGTTTAAATAAATTTACCTATCTAACTTTTTACTTTTTAGTGTGGCTACTAAAATTTGAAATGGTTTATGTGTTCGATTAAACATCACTGATTGAAAATTGTAGTCTCTGAAATTGGAAAGAATCTCAGTCTTTTTACTTAGAATTACACGAGAGTCTTGGGAATTCTATATATATATACATATGTGTGTGTGTGTGTGTATATATATATATATATATATATATATACATATATGTATATATATATATATATGCTTTTAATAAGAAATGTGTATTTCTTTAATAAGAAAAACAAATACTACATAGTTTACTGAAAATTAGAAGTATAGCTGGACTTTGATACAAGCACCCTAAAAAGGGTAATTAAATCACAAGCAAAAGTTTAAAAAATGAACAAAGTTTAAAAACAAAAATCAGAGAAAGGGTAAATTTGATCAATGAAATCATATCAGTATCTAGGATGATAATGTACAACAAAATAGTGTCCACAATGAATATAGAAAGGGAAGGACAGAGTGGTATGAAAACATTCATATTGGTAGATCTGTATTCCCATAGGCCTTGGGGTGAGACATTTAGAAAGAAGGTAGGTGGAGCTACTATAATTAGTTTACTGCTTCTGGATCCCAAATGCATCCCATTGGGATATATCTTCCAATTTATTCCTTAAAAAAATGGTTTTAAACAGATGTAATAACTTAAAATAAACTCCATCAAATTTGGATGACCCTGATACCAGAAGCGTCATCAAAGTAAGGAGCATGTGGTCATTTCCACTCTGCTCAGGAGGAAACTGAGATTCAAAGAGATTAAGTAACTTGCTAAAATCATAAAGCCAGTAAGAGAAAAAGATTTTTAACACAGTTCTATCTGACTCAAAATCCCACTGTTACATTTTGTGTTTTTCCTTTCCTATCAAGGAAGACACAGTTCCTGCCTTTAAATAATTCTGACTAATGAAGAAATATTCAATTTGTTATTTTAAGTTACAAAGGGTTATGCGTTATAATCTGGACCCAATATATTCTTTATGTTTGTTTGCTGTGCTTTTTGAGACAGTTTTGGTTGTGTTCTTTTAAAATGTGCTTGGAATGGGTTCTAATGTAGCTTATAGTCAGAGAAATTTGATGCTTTGCCTTTGCACAGCAAAATCTTCAAGGACCCATACTTGTGATCAAGTAGGTCTTAAGAACGTTAATGGTGTCTGTGGTTTGGAGCAAATTGATTCTGATTGTGGTGTTTGGTGTAGATTGCTTAGTGCACCAAATAGATTGCTCCAATCATGTCTATCTCTTTTTGCTTTCCTTTCTTTTTTAGGTCTGGGTTTATTTGATAAGATTTTGTTCTCACTTGTCTTGATTTTAATTGTGAAGGCAAATTTTACCTTTTCAATCTCAATGTCAGGACACAGGTGATGTACTGACATCTATTCACGGTATGAACACATTTCTAAGCAGTAAGCATTCAACAAGTAAATGGTTGCTACTTCTTAGGTACAAGGCACCATTCTGAGGAAAGAAAAGTGCATCCAGCTTCAAGCCATACTTACAATCTGGTGGGAGATAATTCAGTATGATAAACTTTGTTCATATATAAGCACAGGGTTCTGTGGGAGCAACTTAGGGGGTTCTTCTGCTTTAGATAAAAAAAATGCAAAGATTTCCAGAGGAAGTGATATTTAAACTGTAAGGAAGAGGTAAGCAGTGGACAGAGACCAGGGAACCAGTGGGGAACCAGTGGAAGAAGAGAAGAATTCCTAGCACATAGGTCAGGTAAAGGCATTTTGGACCTGCAATTTATTGGGTTTGGAATTTGGTTGAAAGGTATAGATGTGAGAGGGTGCCAGAGAGTAAGAGGAGTAGCCAAAACAGAAGAGATTAAGGAGAAAACTCAATCAAAGTTGAAGGGATAATTTTGAAAAGCAACATTTCACACAATGTAATGCATTTTGAATCTTAAGATGATTCATTTAGAGCATACATTTTAGAGGCCACTATAAGCATATTCTATGTAATTGGACCTGCAATTTTTAAAATAGAAATGATAATTTCAGTCTGATAATATTGGACTCTTCATATTCATATATATATGTATTCATATTTATTATATATCTACTTCATTACAATTCTATGGCCTGTACCATACGTATCATTAGGGACATTTACATCATGATAAATGGGCTTCATTAGTAGTGCTTTGAGGCATTATTATTTATTCATCTTTGAAGGTTATAAAGCTTATATTAATTCATTTTTCTAGGAACTATTATTTTAAATCCAAAAAAATGTTTTCCTATTCTTCAAGTGAGATAGAAAATGATCTGTTTTTCCTATTATTTCAATGCTCAATTTTAGATTTTAAATAAAGAAGGCCTAATCAATTCTACTTTTCTTTTTTCTTTTTTAGTTTTCGGTGGACACAACATCTTTATTTTATTTTTATGTGGTGCTGAGGATGGAACCCAGTGCCCCTCGAATGCCAGACGAGTGGGCTACTGCTTGAGCCACATCTCCAGCCTTTCAATTCTACTTCTTAATTTGATCAGTAAATTTATAAATTTGGGGTAAGGTAGTGGTTTGAGTAAGAGGATTGCATGAACGTGCATAGTGCAAACCCGATTTTATTTCAATCTCAGTTGTTTGGCAAATATATGTGTTCTTTCATTAGTCTGTTAGGCTCTTTCTGCCTCAGGTAATCAAACTTCAAATTTGGTATAGCATTTTCTGTGGACATGGCTTATACGGATTAATTAATTAAATATAGTTTGCAATGCTCCAAAAAATAAAATATTATTCATTTGTGAAAAATTAAAGTTAAAATTGCATCTCAAATCTCTTTCTTTCTTTTGTGAATTTAAAGAGGAAGAATTATATAGGACTTAAAAATATTAAAATCTGGACACAATTCTAACTCTTAATGGAGAGTTCATCTACTATATTTTTATAATACTTTTGGAAACGAATTACACAGTGTCACAACATGCTCTATTCACCTTTGTACTTTTATAAGCCAATGATTCCTTATGTTTCTGGACACAAAACCAATCACATATGATACTGACTTTTCTGTATGTACCTTTGCTATGTACAAATAAAAATTAAGATGGGCTCAAATTCATTTGTGACAAATTGAGCTTAGAAAGCTACCATTATCTTGCTCTGTGACACTGAAAACAAAACAAAGAGATTAATGAAGAAACTGATCAGGATTCGAAACAAGAAACCAATAGAATAAGTTTGCTCTTTGGCCCAATCCCACTGTCCATAAACATTTGTTAAGCATCTTTCATGAATTGAATGTCATAAAGATGATAGAAGGAAAATTACATTATTACGTATAGTCCTTCACTGTTTGGGAAATTGAATCAGATTCTGAATTTCAAATCCTTAACTAGATATAAAGCATGAAGTTAAATATTAGATTATGAAATGTGACTGTAGTAGAGGTAACAGGCAGTTCGCTCTTCCTTTTTTTAAAAAAAGTATTATAAAGCAACTGTGAGAGATTAAACTCTCCCTCGCCTATAGTCTTTTTGCAGCTGTAAACATCTGTAGTAATTTCAGATTGTGTGCCTGGCGTCTGTGTTATAATCAAAACCTAATCTCTCTTCCCTGCTTCTTAAGGAGACTCTAGGAAACTAGTTTTACTGGGCTAACATGGAGGAGGAAGACAAGGAAGGGTGGATGGGAAAGAGAAAGGAACCGAGAGAAAATAAGGCAGGGACAGATGGAAAGAAGGAATTAAATGAATGAAAGAGAGATGTCCCTTTTCTGGGTTTGTTTTTGGTGGCTCCCTGCCCGCTTTTCCCGTTTGGCTGCCCAGTAGCATCTCCTGCAGGCTCGGCCCTCAGCCCCGCCCCCTAGCGTCGGAGTCCGGTAGCCAGCGGCTGGAGCCTATCTCTTTAAATGACAGCTGTGGCTGGGGTCCCAGTACTGGGCTTGACGTCAGTGCCGCCTCCTGGGCTGCAAGGAGTAGTTAGCGCCGCCGTCCGCGCTCGGGGCTCGCGGCGCGCTTGCAAGCTGCTGGGGCGGCGAGTTTTCTTTGCTCCGGCCCCTCCTCCTGCCCTCCCCGCGGAGAGCGAGCCGCAGCCCCAGAGCCTCTCGCAAGTCTCCCTCACACTTCCCCGCCGTCTCCCCAAAGGAGCGGTTGCTCCTCTTCGCGCCTCCTCCACCGCCGCTCCCGCGGAGCTACTCTCCCGCGCATCGCTTCCCCGATGGAGCTCGGGCGCCGCCGACGCCGCCGCTGCCCCGAGCCCTGAGCCCCGCCACCCGCCGGGAGGAACGCACCGACCCGAGGGTGCAGGGCGCCCAGGCGCACGCAGAGGGCAGGGGGCTGCGAGGCGTGCGGGGCACGGGCTCTGGGAACCACAAAGTGCTGCTCTCTCAGGTCACCTGGCCGCCGGTGGGGGGGACCATGGCTCTGAAGGACACCGGTAGCAGCAGCAGCACCATCCTGCCAATTAGCGAGATGGTCTCCTCGTCCAGCTCACCCGGCGCTTCGGCAGCCGCCGCCCCGGGGCCCTGCGCACCCTCGCCCTTCCCCGAGGTGGTGGAGCTGAACGTGGGCGGCCAGGTCTATGTGACCAAGCACTCCACGCTGCTCAGCGTCCCAGACAGCACTTTGGCCAGTATGTTCTCGCCTTCTAGTCCCCGGGGCGGCGCCCGGCGCCGGGGCGAGCTGCCCAGGGACAGCCGGGCGCGCTTCTTCATCGACCGGGACGGCTTTCTGTTCAGGTACGTGCTGGATTATTTGCGGGACAAGCAGCTGGCGCTGCCCGAGCACTTCCCGGAGAAGGAGCGGCTTCTGCGCGAAGCCGAGTACTTCCAGCTCACCGACCTGGTCAAGCTGCTGTCGCCCAAGGTCACTAAGCAGAACTCGCTCAACGATGAGGGTTGCCAGAGCGACCTGGAGGACAACGTTTCTCAGGGCAGCAGCGATGCGCTGCTGTTGCGAGGGGCCTCAGCCGCCGCGCCCTCGGGCCCAGGAGCGCACGGCGGCGGTAGCGGCGGCGCCGCGCTGGACAAGCGCTCGGGCTTCCTCACACTGGGCTACCGCGGCTCCTACACCACCGTGCGCGACAACCAGGCAGATGCCAAATTCCGGCGTGTGGCACGCATCATGGTGTGCGGGCGTATAGCTTTGGCCAAGGAGGTCTTTGGGGACACGCTCAACGAAAGCCGCGACCCCGATCGGCAGCCTGAGAAGTACACGTCCCGCTTCTACCTCAAGTTTACCTACTTGGAGCAGGCTTTCGATCGCCTGTCCGAGGCCGGCTTCCACATGGTGGCATGTAACTCCTCAGGCACCGCCGCCTTCGTCAACCAATACCGCGATGACAAGATCTGGAGCAGCTACACTGAGTACATCTTCTTCCGTAAGTTCGCGACCTCTGCATTTCCTAATTTATCCGCAGCTCCCTGACCGTGGCAGGTTCTAGCTCAGTTGTAACCCTGTAAGGGTGTCCCCTGCAGAAGTGCCCCAGGAGGGAGCTGGTTAAATAGTGCAAGCAGGTCTTCTTGCAAGCCTCCCTTATGAAGGGAGGACAGTTTACTCTTTCCCTCCTTTCCGATCTCTCTTTCTAGATTAACGTTTTCGCGAATTCAGTAGCACCCAGTCCCTACTTAAGGAAGTCCTCTTCCATAACTTTATTGATCTTGCCCTCTTGCCCCGCCTAGCTTTTGGGTTGTCCTAGACTGAGGTCAGTGGAGAGGAGACAGGGATACATGCTGCGCTCACAGGCCTTCCTCCTGTCTGCTTCCGTGGGACTCTTGGCGGGGAGTGGGGGGTCAATTTGTGTGTCTGTAAGTGGTGGTCTTCCAGGCGGCGTAATGGCATCTAGGCATTGCTGTACTTCGCCCAGAGTATCTCTCTCCTAGGTGTGGGCCAGCGCAGCGGCGCCAACCGCGGGCGGTTTCGGTAGGGGGCAACCAAGTGATGAATGTGCCTCTAGGATTCCTCAGGGGCCTGGGCGTGGTAGCGGTTGGTGGCAAAGCTTATACTGACCAATGGAAACCCACAATTACCCTAGGCAGTTAGCACCTCAAGTGCAACTCCCCCGTTTTGGACTGGCGAGGGTGAGGGCAATTTTCAGGGTTGGAGATTAGAAAGGGAACATGCCCCTGTGTGTGTGTGTGTGTGTGTGTATGTGTGTGTGTGTGTGTGTGTGTGTGTGTGTGTGAGAGAGAGAGAGAGAGAGAGAGAGAGAGAGAGAGAGANGAGAGAGAGAGAGAGAGAGAGAGAGAGAGAGAGAGAGAGAGAGATGAATGGGGGGGGGAGAGGGAGATAGATTATGTTTCTTTTTTGCATCCCTTGGGTGCTAAATGGGGTTGAATGCACTTTCCCCAAGTGAACATTGCATGGGTTTTCTGAAATACGAGAAATAGGAACAGGATTTCAGAAAGTATTTGACACATTTCATCCATCCATCTATCTATCTATCTATCTATCTATCTATCTATCTATCTATCATCTATCTTTAGCTATCCATTTAGTAGTGCATTTCTGGTGGGGGCTCAGTGGAGTTCAAGGACTGTTTGTGGGTAGAGTGGGAAGTGTGGCCCCCATAATTCTCAGTGACAGGTGTAAAGTTAGAAGGGCAACAACTTGAGGAAAATTTGGATAAATGAAAAGTTAGCTGAGATGGTTTTGCCACTATTTACAAACATTTTTACTTTGGCATGTCACCAAAGAAACTTGCTTGTAGTGTTAGAAAAAGTAGCATTGAAAACTCACAAGGAACATAGATCTGCTTTGTTTATGTTTATTTATTTTACTAATTCACTCACTATTGGGGAACTGTACAATTTTGTACACTTTGTTTTGATTTGAAAAGTAGAAGAGACTTCTCCTTGAACAAATGCAAGGTTGATTAGAAGGTGGTCATTGTCTGTATATTTTGGTAACCTTGGAGGTAGGAGACAGACACAGCACATTAGCTCTAGAGTTAAATTGTCTTTTAAAATAGTGCTGGATTTCCTGAGGAAACCATGCCAAAGAAGCAAATGAAGTGTCTACTGAAGTGGTAGATCAGAACCCAATTGTCTTGACTATATCAAAGTATTATTTGTTACACAGGAGCAAGATTAATGGTCAGAAAAGCCACATGAAGGAAAGTAGTATTTTTAAAGTCATATAAAATTGGCATCTCTTCAGTATATATTAAATAAAACATTTTAGCATATTTTATTTATCTTTATCAATGAACTTTTTTTAGATTTTAAATATGTAAAAAATTTCATCAAAGAACTATTTTCAAGCATTTCAGAAGGTGGTGTGAAATGAAATTTTGCCTTTCTTGTGATTAGCGATTTTTGTTAAAATAGATAGATGCATGAGTGTTTTACAGAGTTAAGTTTCTTAAGATTTCTTAAAGATTTTGGTAATCTTTCATAATTTCAGTGAACCCCCTCCCCCCCCCCCAGAAAATTATGGACTTGAGAATGTTCATTACGTTGATCATGAATAGATAATACAGTTGGCCTATAAATTAGGAAAACTTAACTAATAAGATAAATTGATATTTAAAATTCAGGATCTTTAAAAAATCTGGAGCTAGGATTATTACATAAAATAAAATATTCAATATATTGGATGACCTTATATATCTATGAATAACCACTTGCAGAGTACTCACTTTCCTTTTGAGCTCTGAAATTGATTCATAACAGTCCCAGAAATATTAGGAAGCAACCCAGAACTTTTTTTAGGGTTATTCTAACTTTAGGTTGAATTATACAATCCCAGATTAAATATTGTCTCTTGAAGATGCAATTCAGCTATGACTCAATTAAATATAGCTCTCATTTTAAATTTGAATGTAAAATTTGTCTTGAGTACTAATATATATATATATATTTATACATATGTACATGTATATAATATTTTATATAGCTTCCATTATATTGCCACAGATTATACTGAATGGAATTTCTTTTAATATTTATCATGAGAGTATAATTATTGGATGACCTTATATATCTATTTGTGTTTTAGTTGCATAAAAGAATCTTAATGTTTTTATTTTCCCCTTGATACATATTTTTCAAAAATACTTATTTGTTGTATAAAATGTATTTATTTAGTGCATAATACATTATGGAGTTACAAGTTACAAGTGAACTTAGTGGATTATGCTACTCTAAAAATAATAGAATTATAGTTATGCACTTTAATATCAATTTTAGCATTCTGCATCACTCCTGAGTTTCTACAATAGAAGGAAAGAGATTGGCAAATGGTTCAGTAATCCCAGCCATTGCTACTTGCAAATGTGTGATCTTGGTTAACTAACTTACTTGTTTTGTATTTTAGTTCCCTCACATGTATAATGGGACTTATTATAGTACCAATTTTATAAGATTTGAGAAAACAAGAAAAGTGTCTGACCCATATTCAAAGTTGAGCAATGTTAGCTATTCTATCGCAAGTAAAATTCTATAAACCTTATTATTCTTGCCAACATTAAACTTTCATTTTTGGTTTATTCAAAGCATAGTTAATTAAAGTTATTTGTAAAGTTAATCAGAAAGTTTTTTCTCAATTAAATAATAGAGTGCTAAACTTCGAGGAGTTTGAAACAACTAATTAAGTAGCTAACTTCTACCCTGGAACTTGAATTTTTCAGACCAAGTGACCTAGACTTGCCAATCATCCTCCTGTTGGTTTTTCTGGATCACCTCCCAACAGAACACATTTCTGATTCAGAGCCAAGAAGTGTTTTAGCCCTTCCCACTAGAACTTGAAACTTTGACAATATTTTCTGAGAAATACCAAGCTGGATTAACATTTTAAGTGCTTGTATTTAAGTCATTGGGATCTAATGCTCAAGGTTATATACAGCCTATTAAACATTAAATTCCAGGTTTATTTGGCTACATGGACACCTTCATTTATTTTCACTCTTCACTCATTATTTATCAAGTTTTTTTCTAGTATACTACAGCATGTACTAGTATGATAAAATTATTCCTCTATTAGTGAAGATGGATTGCCCTTTTCTTGGGCAAAACAGAGTGGTTTATTGTGCTGTTTTGGAGGGGATGTCTGGTAAGTGTAGTTGTGGCTGTTTTAATTAATAAGAGATAATAAAGATAAAAAGTTATTTCTTACAGTATTGCATAGACAGTATATAGTTATATACTTAAAATGTGATATGTAGCTCACTCATAATTAAATCCAGCATTATGTATTTCTTTGATTTTTCATATTTAGTAATTTTACAGTAAAGGAAGTGCTGATATATTCATGTTCTCTTTTTACTAGTAGTTTATATGTTGAACTCCAAATGTTTGTTGAGCAAAAATACATGTATTCAAGTACCCAATTCCACAGGAGGCTGTGGTATGACACTGGATGCTCTACAGGGCCTTTGAACTTGAATGTCTTATATAGTACTCTCTCTACACATATCTTCTTCTGTAGCTTTTTGTGCTACCCTGATGCAACTTTGTGTGATTAGATAGAATGGCTTTATTTCTAGGATTACAGTCACTCCACCAAGTAAGGTAAGCACTCTCTAAATTGTCAGTGGGATGGAGGAGATCCAGCTGCTGATCTGAATATAGGTTCCCTGTCCCTTGACATACTTCTTATTCTTAGTTTCTGTTAACCACATAAACTTTGTCTTTTAATTGTTTTTTCTTCAGTGCTGGGGATGGAATCCAGTCCCTCACAGATGCTAGTCAAATTCACTACCCTTGAGCTGCAACTCTAGCCCCTGTAAAAGTTTCTAATTACCATAACAATTTAGTGGTGTTTTGTGATTTCAAAAATACAAATATATAAAGTATTTTGTGTCGAATTCATTCATTTATAAATTTTCTTATAAATTCATTTATAAATTTGCTTCCTGATGCATTGACTTTTTAGTGTATCCCCTGGTATCCCAGCATTATAATGCTGAGTGAACCCTGGCTGTCCGATCCTTCTTCATGGTGCTTCAGCACTTCTATATATTTTCACTATTCAGCAGTTATAGATCCTTTATTGATTGTCCTACACATGTAACCACCTGTTTTCATGTTGACCTTCATGCTAGTTTTCTCCCTGAGAGTTTGTGTTACGTCTCAATTTTGTATTATCTGTGGCCAAGTGAAAGAGCTAACATGAATTTACTGACAGTGTTTTCCAACTGAAAAGGTGGATTGAGGAATGAGCTACAGGTGTTCAAGAGTACATTGAGACAGTTGTTTGAGACTTAGTTTCACTTCAGTTTAAAGAACACTTATTAAATAATTTTACCAGGCTATAGAACCTGTAACATGCAACTGTGGACAAGACAGAGACTTTATATTTAAGATAATCACTTTGAGCTTTATGTAATTGTAAATTATATTATAGAGGGGTTATTAGGGGTTATATTATAGAAGGGTTATT